AATGAAGCCTATCATGTCCAGTGGTAATCATATTAGCATAACTAAACTACACCTAGGGCTGTTTCACGGCGGACGTGTAACATTTACGCCCTGTGCTACGTCATTAAAGTGTATCAATACGCAGGTCCAAGCATACAGAATGTAAATATTACCGCGTAAGACTTCTGTGTGGTACACAAACAAAGGATTTACACTTCGTTTCTTTACCGGGTTACACAATATTGCTAAATTATGTATTCTTTTTATGTGATAATTGCTTATATGGAATTGTCCTCCGACATCTTGAAAATTTGAAATATGTTTTGTATTCTATGTATCAATTACCATATACGCTGATTTGCATTCGGAAATAAAAAACTTGAAACTTGAACTTGAACACTTTTGTGGTTCACTTGCTACAATAACAGCCGAAAGCGGCCGTGACACACGTTTAAACTTGTAATGGCCTATTAACCTTACCATGCTCAGCATTTAAATAAAATAGCACGTTAATATCATTTGAAACCTAACCTTACGTTATGTAATTGTAAGGTTTCAAATGATAATACACGTAGAGCTACACTGTTCTCTCAAATGCCTAAGATTGCACCAACGTGCTCCTAGCTGTCACTCTTTTCCAGAAGGAGTAATTCTCGCAGCCTCGATTGGACCTTCTTCAGTCAAAAAACCCTGTGACTGTATATAATACTACGACCCCTCTACCTTTATCTCGTGTGCCCAGCCCTTGTGTATATCCCTCTATATCCATATATCTCGTGTGCCCGGTCCCAGTGCATATCCATCTATATCACAGCTCGTGTGTCCAATCCCAGTGTATATCCCTATATATCCATATCTCGTGTGCCCGGTCCCAGTGTACATGTATATCCCTCTAGCTCGTGTGTCCAATCCCAGTGGTTTTCCCTCTTTATCCAATATCCACAGCTCGAGTGCCCGGTGCCAGTGTATATCCCTCTATATCCAATATCCACAGCTCGAGTGCCCGGTCCCTGTGTATATCCCTCTATATCCATATCTCGTGTGCCCAGCCCTTGTCTATATCCCTCTATATCCATATCTCGTGTGCCCGGTCCCAGTGCGTATCCATCTATATCACAGCTCGTGTGTCCAATCCCAGTGTATATCCCTATATATCCATATCTCGTGTGTCCAATCCCAGTGTATATCCCTCTTTATCCATAGCTCGTGTGCCCGGTTCCAGTGTATCTCCCTCTATATCACAGCTCGTGTGCCCGCTCCCAGTATATATCCCTCTTTAGCCACAGCTCGTGTGCCCAGTTCCAGTGTACATGTATATCCCTCTATATCACAGCTCGTTTGTCCGGCTCATGTGTATATTCTTCTATATCCACAGCTCGTGTGCCCGGTCCCAGTGTACATGTATATCCCTCTATATCACAGCTCCTGTGCCCGGTCCCAGTGTATATCCCTGTATATCTATATATCCATATCTCGTGTGTCCAATCCCAGTGTATATCCCTCTATATCCAATATCCACAGCTCGAGTGCCCGGTCCCAGTGTATATCCCTCTTTATCCACAGCTCGTGTGCCCGGTTCCAGTGTACATGTATATCCCTCTATATCACAGCTCCTGTGCCCGGTCCCAGTGTATATCCCTGTATATCCATATCTCGTGTGCCCGGTCCCAGTGTATATCCCTCTTTATCCATATCTCGAGCGCCCGGTTCCAGTGTATATCCCTCTATATCACAGCTCATGTGCCCGGTCCCAGTGTATATCCCTGTATATCACAGCTCGTGTGCCCGGTCCCAGTGTATATCCCTCTATATCACAGCTCATGTGCCCGGTCCCAGTGTATATCCCTGTATATCCTATCTCGTGTGCCCGGTCCCAGTGTATATCGCTGTATATCATAGCTCGTGTGCCCGGTCCCAGTGTATATCTCTCTTTATCCACAGCTCGTGTGCCCGGTTCCAGTGTACATGTATATCCCTCTATATCGCAGCTCGTTTGTCCGGCTCATGTGTATATTCCTCTATATCCACAGCTCGTGTGCCCGGGCCCAGTGTACATGTATATCCCTCTATATCACAGCTCGCTTGTCCGGCTCATGTGTATATTCTTCTAAAGCCATAGCTCGTGTGCCCGGTCCCAGTGTATATCCCTGTATATCATATCTCGTGTGCCCGGTCCCAGTGTATATCTCTCTTTATCCACAGCTCGTGTGCCCGGTCCCAGTGTATATCCCTGTATATCATAGCTCGTGTGCCCGGTTCCAGTGTATACCCCTCTATATCCACAGCTCGTGTGCCCGGTCCCAGTGTACATGTATATCCCTCTATATCACAGCTCGTTTGTCCGGCTCATGTGTATATTCTTCTAAATCCATAGCTCGTGTGCCCGGTCCCAGTGTATACCCCTCTATATCCATATCTCGTGTGCCCGGTCCCAGTGTATACCCCTCTATATCCACAGCTCGTGTGCCCGGTCCCAGTGTACATGTATATCCCTCTATATCACAGCTCGTGTGCGCGGTCCCAGTGTATATCCCTCTATATCCACACCTCGTGTGCCCGGTCCCAGTGTATATCCCTCTTTATCCACAGCTCGTGTGCCCGGCTCCAGTGTATATCCCTCTATATCACAGCTCCTGTGCCCGGTCCCAGTGTATATCCCTGTATATCATATCTCGTGTGCCCGGTCCCAGTGTATATCCCTCTATATCACAGATCCTGTGACCGGTCCCAGTGTATATACCTGTATATCACAGCTCGTGTGCCCGGTCCCAGTGTATATGTATATCCCTCTATATCACAGCTCGTGTGCGCGGTCCCAGTGTATATCCCTGTATATCATATCTCGTGGGCCTGGTCCCAGTGTATATTCCTCTTTATCCACAGCTCGTGTGCCCGGTTCCAGTGTATATCCCCCTATATCACAGCTCCTGTGCCCGGTCCCAGTGTATATCCCTGTATATCACAGCTCCTGTGCCCGGTCCCAGTGTATATCCCTCTTTATCCACAGCTCGTGTGCCCGGTCCCAGTGTACATGTATATCCCTCTATATCACAGCTCGTTTGTCCGGCCCATGTGTATATTCCTCTAAATCCATAGCTCGTGTGCCCGGTCCCAGTGTATACCCCTCTATATCCATATCTCGTGTGCCCGGTCCCAGTGTATATCCCTCTATATCCATATATCGTGTGTCCGGCCCCTGTGTATATCCCTTTATATCCACACCTCGTGTGTCCGGCCCCTGTGTATATCCCTCTATATCCACACCTCGTGTATCAGGCCCCTGTGTATAGCCCTTTATATCCACACATCGTGTATCAGGCCCCTGTGTATCTTCTATATATCCACATCTAGTGTGTCCGGCCCCTGTGTATATTCCTCTATATCCACAGCCAGCTTATGTGTCCGGCCCCTGTGACCCACAGGAACCTTATAATTTGTTACAGATATATTTGGACCCCAACTAACGTGTTCAGATTTATGGTACATGTTTTAGGGGTTTAGATCGACTTTCGGTAAAAATGACACCCCAATGATGATACCAGCCTACCAACACTGCATGTTTCGGCACGAGGCTGACGTCAACCTCATGAATGTAAGTGACACGATGACAGCGAAAAACTCTGAAATAACGTGTGTTTTTGAAGGAAATGCAGATCATGTCCGCGGAAGGAAAATACATTTTATGTGCATATAGGAGGTTTTTAAAGGACAAATTATCCATCTTTCCAACGTTACTAAGCATGTTTTCGTACGTCAACTAGAAATGCTGTTTTTGATGCAGGAAAATTAGGTTGGGTCAACTTTTCGACAACGAAAGCTCTCCGCTCTTTTCGTATATATCATCAATTGGCCCCATCAAATCAATATCGCATCCGGACGATAACGTTTCAATAGAAATTCCACCTCAAATAGACTTATCAACGGTGTCAACACAGACTGGCGTAGTGTAGGGGTCTGTATGGGTATGGTCATCGGTACATACCCTCACGACCCTAAATAAGTAGTGACAGGGGTCTTGAACTTGAACTTGTGTAGGTATGGTCATCGATAGTGTACAGCTGGGGTCTGTATGGGTATGGTCATTGGTACATACCCTCACGACCGTAGCAAGTAGTGTACAGGGGTCTGTATGGGTATGGTCATCGGTAGATAGCCTCACGACTGTAGCAAGTAGTGCAGGGTTAACTCTCCTCACACCGTTAAACAAGTGTTCCATGTACATGTATACTACGTACCTCTAATCAAACATTCCAGAAATACCTTTAAACCGCTATGTGACAAGAAGTTCAGATATATATAAATAAACCTTTAAAAAAACAAGCTTAGCTGTTAAAAGGAGCGCGACACCATTAGATTCAAGCGTTAAGAAGTCAACAACCATAATAAACAAGTAATCTCACTCTCCCAAAAATCAGCCAAACTGACCGTTTTTGTACTGGTCACTCGAAAGTAACCTCCTTTTCCTCTCAATCGGGCCCATTATAAGGTTTATTTTACCAGAGGCACATGTTACATGTGTACTTTAAGTAGGAGTAATGTTTGACGTGTTGGTTTAGATCAACACTTGTTACCGGCCCCCCCTCCCCCAACACTCTAGTACTTGAACATATAACGGATGACATTGTAGTATATTTATGTCATTGTAGTATTGTTATGTATCATAATATCATGCTGTAATTGGTTATAATCTACCGATATCTCATTGTAATACGAGGCGTTCCTATGTTTGTCACCGTATTCAACTCCAGTACGATTAGGGTGTATTTCAATGCACAGCTATAAATAGAACTTGATTCATAGTGATTTGTACACACGTGTGTAAACATTGGTTTTTTTTGCCCTATACGTTCATGTACCTATATATCGCTGTGCTACATGCGTTATAATGTATGTCAATCTATCAAATTGCTTTAAATATTTTATTTTATTTCATTGTACTATGTTGTACTGTTATATAAATCATTTCTCCGACCTGTCTTGAAACACAACAAAATATAAAAGAATCTAAATCTTTGATTTACCTGGAACATGATGTTTCCGAGTCCCCCCGAAAACTCTACACTTGCCATCAGACGGTCGTGCCCCTGTTGGATTTCGGCACATGATGGTCCACGGGCCGATGAACGTTGTACGGCAAAATGTAGTTCCGAAAACAGTTTCAAAGTGAACACGACAATAACGACTACACCGCACGTGATGAGCACGGTAAACTTAGAGTTGGCTGGTATATGTCTCCAGAACGGAAACCATTTAATTGCCGGCATGTTCACAATCAGAGGTGTGCGTACGGTAGATCGATAGGCTCACTCGTCAATCATAGACTACATAACACGTACAGTTGCTATGGGAATACAGGTATCTTCCAGATGCAGCGTTAGTCAAATGTTGATGCACAAGTCAATATAGACGACGACAGCACGTACGGATATACACAGGTGTGTATAAGGCAATCAATGACGATCGGGGTCACGAATGCGAATAAGCGTTGTCATTGAACAAGTACATGTGCTTTAGAATATAATACAATAGGCAGAGGACCCATGAGCTCGGTTACAACTGGTTATGACAGACGTGTATACACACATACATAGAAGGTGTATTAAACAGGACTGTTCATGAAATAACCTACCATGGACATAAGGTGTGGCCGCCGGGGAACGCAGTTTTATAGCGGCTGCCCGACCTTTTTGAGTCCAATTACAAATTTACAGCTTTTGGCGACTTTTGAACCCCCTCCACTGGACACCTCATACCTACTAAATTGTCTCCCTTCCTTCTCCTGTTTTTGACCCACACTTTGCCAGTTGACTACCAAATGTTTCGTACATGATGAATACGTGCCTTCTTTACAGGAATTGATAGAGGTGGTGGTTAATTGTGAACAATATGTTGTATTATTGTATTAATTTTTTCGTTTCAAAATATTTTATTAAATCAATTGATTTAATGGGAATTGGGCAACAGGCTATGCCTATACAAGCCCTCTCCCCTGGGTTACATACATTTCACAAAAATATAATTATAATTTAGACATTAACATATTAGCACTGACTTGGAACATTAAATAGTACTTAATAGTATTATAGTCTCTATCTATCTCTGAACTAAGCAAAATAAAAAATAAATAAAAAATAAAAAATTACTGAGATAAAACAAATACATTTGGGGTTTTTTTTGTTATTTTTTCTTCACACAGTAACCAGTATATATATGAAATATATTTCAAATTGGAAAGCAATGTGTGTATACTGCATTTGTAAATAATCAAATTTTCTAAATTTTACATCATATATTAGTATCAAAAACTGGAACCTTCATTCAATACAGTAAATATTAAATATTATTAGTTGAATAATTTGTAACACCAACAAGTCCTCCATCACCACTCCTACTCCAGATAACAATAATAACTGGGCAGCACTAAAATGTCCATACACACCACCACTGTGTGCTAACCCAGTCATTGACAACCCAGGGCAGGAGCCGTGTTGAAGGAGTATTCATGTAGACATGTATACATACACATTGGGACAATAATTAACAGTTATTTCAAAATTTGTTAGTAGACTCAATATATTTCTGAACACAGACACAAACAGCAGAATTAGGATCATGACTAAGGTGGTTACTTCCCCTAGTTCGTATATTATTTATTAAATGTTCAATCAGGTTTAAATCAATATTTGAATGTGGGTTTAGCTGAATGTTAAGCTGCAAATTGTATTAATTGGAATCATTTAATGATGTGTATATTTGATTAAATATGGAGTTTTTTTCGGTCTATATGCCAGTCTTTTCACTATATGTAAAACGAGAGGACAAATGCCCGGCCAGACTGGGGTTCAAACCCGGGACCTTCCGAACTCTAGACGGACGCTATGCTAATTGAGCTACCTGGTCGCCGGGGAACGACCCAGTCTAGTTCTGCTACGATTTAGATGTGGTGGTCATTGCATGTTATGAGTCGGTCATTTAATTCGGGAGAGGTGACCTGAGGTAGTCACAGTACATAGATGGGAGAGGTGACCTGAGGTAGTCACAGTACATAAAGGGGAGAGGTGACCTGAGGTAGTCACAGTACATAAAGGGGAGAGGTCATCTGATATAGTCACAGTACAGAAGGAAACGATGGGAACAACACTTGATAGTTTGCCTTGCACCATTTCACAAATATTGATATGTAATTTGCAAAGCATTTAAAAGAATACTGTTTAACAGCCCATAACTTTGTCAATTAAACAAATACGTCGGCTAGATAATAATAAATCTATATAAGTACTGTGAAACTAAAAGAGAGAGCAACATATCTACCAGCTTGACTACGCGAGAGAGTGAACCATGAGACTCCTATGTACAGCGGTCGTTGTGATCACCGAGACCGTTATAACTGCTGGAAAAGACGTTCAACAGAGTTTCTTTATTTCTCAGAGTTTCTTTATTTCTCATGGTTAATACACGAATATAATCTTCTTAGTAGTGCACAGTCACGACACACACAGTTAAATGTACTGTATGTTGCCAGCTTGAAAATGTAGGTGACTATTGTATACGTCTATTGTATATTCAGGTGGGATTACTTCTGTATTGAAATGATTTAAAAAGCGCCGTGTTGAAAAAGACGACGATCAATATAGCTTTTATGTTGGACACTCAATCCGGAATTTCATTGATCACTTTCTGAGTAGAACTTTTCTCAAGCCATTTAGTAGGTGATTTGACAACATTTCAAGTTCCGTGTACAGTTTTTCCGACAATGGAAACTTGAGGTTTCTCTTGTGAAACACATTTCTATTATAAATACTTACCATAGTCATTATAATGCATATTCCAACCTTACTTGGCTCTTTACATACGTAAATAAAGAATCCCCCCCTCCATGGGGAACCCCCGGAAACCCACTAATCAGACGGCAGTATTCACGCACGTGATTAGAAACGAAGCAATGTTTCCCACTTCATGATTCCAAAGCCCAAAAAAGTGAGAACAAAGGAGACAAGGGGAGGCTGGGAGGGAACTCAACTATTGACTGTGGTTAGTATTTATAATAGAAATTGGTTTCACAAGAGAAACCTCAATTCTATTTCAAAATACGTTACCACAGTCATTATAATTCGAATTCGACTTACCGCAGTGGTGTCTCCATGGAGAGATGAAGGGTTCCAACAATAGGACCCATATCCCCGGAGGAAAAATTCAAAATACCTTTTCTTTTGTGACACAGAGCCTGTTTACGACCAGCGTTCCGGATCACGCAGAGAAGACATAATGAGGCTCATGCAAAAGAAGAGGGGGGACAGACAATGTATTGGGCAGCCACAAGAGGGCCCAAAGAAAACAACCCGTAAGACTGTCCCGACAAAGATAATAGATAGAACTCCGTAAACGTAGAATGACCCCTCCAAACAGCAGCTGTCATGACCTCAGCGTAAGAAGAACCATTAAATAAGGCCCACGAAGTAGCTAAAGCGCGAACCTCGTGAGCCCTAACCCCTGACAACCGCAAGGACTGATCCCCTGCCGACTCATACGCAGCTCGAACAGTCTGAACAATCCAGCGCGAGATGGTCGCCGCAGAGATATCAGAGCGACCGGGCTGGAGAGACTGGAACAGCCGAGACAGGATAACTGGATCCACTTGGAGCAACATGGAGTCGTCGAAGTGGATGTGTGCATCTACCCCAAGACTGTGGAGGTGCCCCACTACTACCTGCAACAACTTGGTGAAAACCAAGGGGGCCGTAGTGAGGCCAAAGGGCATAGCGCGAAACTGCTAAACCTTCTGCTCGAAAGTGAACCTGAGGAACTTCCTGGCCGACCTCCTGACAGGGATGTGAAAGTAAGCATCCTTCGGATCGATGGACGTAGCCCACATCCCTCGACGCACTGACGCAATGATGCGTCGTGGCGTTTCCATCTGGAAGTGCGGGGAATCGACGTACGTGTTGAACGTACTGAGGCCGAAAATAGGCCTTCAGGCACCGGACTTCTTCTTCACGAGGAAGACCCGGGAGTAAAACCCTGGAGACCACCGGTCCGGTGAAAGTTCCTCGATCGCACCCTTCGCGATCATGGCCTGAACCTCCGACCTGAGAGCCTCCACCTTTCCAGGATCGGAAGGAGAAGGAAAAAAGATAGGCTCTCGCGCCAGAGGTGGATCTAGAAGGAGCGGGATGCAGAGATCATTGGACACAACCCCTAAGGCCCAACTGTCTGATGTGATTTCCTTCCACTGAGGAACGAAATGGGACAGCCGACCGACTACTGGCAAGTCCGGAGGGGGCCAATCTAGCCCTTCCCAAACCACATCGGCGGACCCTCCTGTGCGTGGGAGCGGCGACAGACAGTGGACAAGGACTGACCTACAGCAAGGCCAAAACCTGTAGGGCCAGTAAAACAAGCCCCACCAGGGGAGCAGCGTGCCCCGGCAAAGCCAAACGCAGCCGCGCTGGTACCTACCATAGGAAAACCCGGGGAGGAGGCACAAGGGATAGAGCTGGGAGCATAGGTTTTTACACCAGTGCTCACACCACCGTAAAGTCCAGCCGAGGCTAGCGAGGCCGAGGCATCACTAACCACCGGACCGGGCAGCAAATGCTGCACAGTGGTGGACGGCGTGCTAGACGCTTTCGCCACGCCAGGGGCTACATCGGGGATCCTGTGAACCCCGGGAGCAGACAAAACTGCCGGGGACCGGTCTGCGACAACTACACCCTGAGGAGTGGAGCGGACCGGCAGGAGGCTACAAACAGAAGCGTCCGCGGACACAACATGGCTGGCCTGTTTAACATTCCTGTGTAAGGTTGGGCACCACAAATGGGAAGAGAAGGCCCTCAGTCACCGCGGGGTTCGGGACAGAGCCCGAACCCTCACCCACGTCGACCGACAAAACGGAAAGGGGGGAGGGGGGGGAGTGAGAGAAAGGTCCGGGTCCAAAGAAACAACCTGCTTTACAACGGCCCCGGAACGGTCCGAACCCGCCGAAACGAACCCCAGGGAAGACTCAATAGAGGTCAAGATCCCGCTGGTGTTCTCCGAGGGCTTAGCCTCGCGGGCGGGAAGAACCACCGGCAGGAGCCGGCTGCCAGGTACGGCAAATGACCGACAGCTAGGACTGTAAGGGTGGGGGTCGGAAGCATCGAATAAATGTCCCCCCCGGACAACGCCCTTGAGAAGGAGGAGTCTCCATCTCAACGTAAACAAACGCGAATACGTGGCCGGATCCTGGTCGCAAAACGGCACAAAATAAAGCAAAACGCTAAATTAAAACAAAATTAAGTTATACAGTATAAAGGATACAATATATCGGTACAAACAACGCCAGTAGCAGTTGGAATCCCGTTGTAAAAAAAAAAACACACTTCCGTAAACACGGAAGG